AGGCCTTTATAGCGGACGATAGCGAGTCCATTGCGGTACTTGAGTTTACGAATATCGTAAACGGCTATCTCTGACTGACGGGTAACGAAGTGATCGACATCAACGACATTACAGTGCGGATAACGGGACAATGCGTCTGCGGCTTGATTTGTGACGCCTGGGCGATATTTAACGGTGAAATCATAGGCGCCAAGCGATACACTCCATCGGTATAACATCGACGACGGGTTCTTGATCTCTAGCAACCACCGCAACGCCGAACAGTCTGACCACACTTCGAAGTGTTCGGACTCTAAGTATTGGCGGAAATGAGCGATAGCTTTGACAACAGCGAGGCATTCAAGAGCTGATGCGGAGTATTTCGATTCAGTATCGCTTGTCTTTGACGACCAATAGGCGATTACATGTAGCTTATTGTCGGCGTCCGGTTGCATCAGAATTCCGGCCAAGCCTTTAGCGCTGGCATCGGTCTGTAAAACGATTTGACGGTTCGGATCGTATATTGCGAGAACCGGTGACGAACAGAGAGCGTGTTTTAACGATTCAAACGCTTCTTTTTGCGGTAAATCCCAGACAAACGGTATGTCTTTACGACTGAGTTGAGTCAACGGGCGAGCAATTTCGGAGAATTTCGGTATAAAGTTCCGGTAATAGTTAGCGAGTCCGACGAATCCTTGGACTGCCTTAACGTTGGTTGGCGTCGGAAACTCTTTGATAGCCTTTACTTTAGACTGTGATGGCCGCACAGCTCCGGCGGAAATTTCGTGTCCTAAGTATTCGATTGATTCGACGAAAAATCGGCATTTTTCACGTCGTAAACGTAGACCTTCGGCCTGAAGACGTTGTAATACGCGGTCTAAAGTGATGGCGTGTTCTTCACGTGTCTTGCTATAGATAACGATGTCGTCGAGGTATGTCTCGACTCCATTACCGATAAATTCGTACAAAACGCGTCTCAACTCTTGTTGACAAACGCTGGCGGCGTTTTTAAGACCAAACGGTAATACCGTAAATTCGAATAAACCGAAACTTGTAATAAACGCTGTCTTCTCGGCGGAATCCGGTGACAACTCCAGGTGCCAATAGCTCCACGCGACGTCTAGCGTTGTGAATACGGTTGCACCGGCCATTCGGTCGATAATATCCTGTATTAAGGGCAACGGCTCTCTTTCACCGATTGTTATAGCGTTTAAGGCACGATAGTCGACCACAGGACGGAACGTGCCGTCTTTTTTTGGTACTAAAAACATAGCCGAACTATACGAGGATCTGGAACGGCGTACGAGTCCTTTTTCAAGTAAACCGTTGATGTGCTCACGCATAATAGCTTCTCTTTTCGGTGCCAATCGGTAAAATCGGCTGTGAACTGGAGCAGAACCGGGTTTCAAACGAATTTCGTGTTTAGTATTGCGGATGCGTCCGATATCTTTGTCATCACGACAGAAGACGTCATATCGGTTGATAATCCCGGAGACTTCGGATTGAACGTCTAATACGGTATTTGTCGTGACTATTATAGCATTACACGAGTAATCGGTGACAGTTGAAGGTCCGGCTTTCGGCATCAGTCCAAACAAACGCCTGGCATCCTGTCCGATGAGGGCTTCGTGATTGCTGTCGTCTACCACGTGTAGCGTAAGATATTTCGATTTATTGGCGATAGTTACGGATATGTGAGCGCTTCCTATCGTATATACTGTTCCGACCAACTGTTTAATAGCGATGGCTTTTGACGGATCGGGACGTAGACCTAGTTTTCGCGCAAGATGTCCAGAAACGATCGATACCGTACTACCTGAGTCAAGAAACGCCTTAAAGTGTATACCGTTTACCTTTACATCGAAATAGTCGTATTCTTTAACCATAGCGGTGTTGACATCAGCTGATGATGAATCGTTGTTTCGGCTTTGATTTCCCGATTGATTATCGGAACCGGTGCGGTTCTGTCTAAGCGGGCATTTCGAGTGCCAGTGGAACTCCCGTTTCCCTGCGGCCAAACAGTATCGGTTGGCTTATTGGGCGGAGTATCGGTGCGATCATCTTTCGGTCCGATTTTCTTACGATTATTTTTGCGTTTATCATCGGCACCGGTGACTACGTTTTCTCGTGCATTTGACGGCTGTCCATAGCGTCTCGACTTCGACGATTCGATACCCAAAGCGACCTCAAACCAATCGGCGGGTGTCTTGAGTCTCGAAGCGCCTAATAGCTGCCGATAGCTATCGGGCATACCGTTAGTTAGCATTGCGACGGCGTTGGCGTCCTTAAGACCGGCCTGTTGTATAAGGCGACGCATATCGTTGTAATACGTAGTTACGGTCTCATTCTTGTTTAGTGTGCGGCGGGTGGCCTCAATCAACGGGTTAGTTGACTGGCGGCTGAATCGAGTGATCATTAGAGTGCGGCAGCGATCCCACGTCATTGTTTGCCAATTGGGTTCCACTTCTTCGGCCATCCAGGACAAGGCTTCACCCGAGAGATGTCTGGCGAGAGCTTTGAGTCTCTCTCTATCGCTGTCGGCATCGATGGTAAGGAGCGAAAACATGCGGAGCCACTCCTCTATCGTTATGTTTGCGTCGGGACCGCTATATTTGTCGCATACCAGGCCGACAATACGACCCGTCGGCTGATATACGTGTGGTATAGCGTTGTTGTCGTTACCGTAATCATACCGTATCATAGCTGATGCCTGTTGTCGGCCCGTTTCGTTTGAATTACGATTACTTCCGGTATTGCGTAATCTCTGCTGAACTCGTGATTGCGACGGTTGGATCTGATCGGCGGTTGACATCTGAGAGAACTGTTCGATAACAGTCTCAGTGTCCGATTGATCGATCCAATCGCCCGTGTGATCGGTGCTCTGCGGAACTGTAATCTGGCGACGATTGCGAACACGTGTCGTCGGTGTGCGAGGATTGCGACCTCGACTTCGGGTGTTGTAGGCGACCGGCATTGTAACGATAGATACGATAAGTGATTAGCGGTTGCGTAGGTTATCTGAGTCGACTGCGCCACTAAATGTCGGCCAATAGGTCCGGCATTAACGGTGAATAATTGACCGCTTGTTTAGCGATAATTAAAACGTTTATTTAGCGAAAAAGTTAATACAGTAGTAGTAGTAATCATAATAATATACAGTATATATATATAGAGAGAGAGAGAAAAGAGAGACACCTATGAATCGGTCGACAAGTATAAGAGAAAAAAGATAGAAAGATAGACAGACAGACAGATAGAAAGAGAGAGAGAGAGAGAGAGAGAGAGAGAGAGAGAGAGAGAGAAGTAAAATTTAGTATTATTTTTTCTAAATGAAAACAATTTATATAAAAATAATTTTAAATATTATATACTGCTATTATAGATTAATGTACAATATTTTATACTTTGATATATTAATATTCAAAAATACTATTATTTTTTCAAATAATATTATTACTATCATGATTATTAATATGATTATTTCATATTAGTTTATTATTGTGATTGCATTCAATAATTTTTATGAGTATAATATTTAAAATCATAAATCAAATTAAATCCATTAGTTTTTTTTCTAAAAAAGAGATGTAAAACTTATATAATGTATATTAGAAAACAAAATAAATTATATTTTTTTTGCTTAATATATATATTTTAATATTAGAAAATGTCATTCATTTAATGTGTATGTGAAACATATAGTGTATATTTAATGTACATTATTAATCTTATAAATTGAATCTAATTTATTAAAATATACCACATATATAATTATAATACAAATTTAACTCATTTATAGCCTATTAATATACTGTACTATCAAATTAATGTATAGATATTTAGATATAAAATTATAATTTTATTTTTATTAGCATTTTTATGAGATTATTTTTAATTAAATAGCAGTTGAGTAAATTTATAATTATGTTGTAAATGATAATTATACCGTACAGTACATTAATAAATATTTTTAAATCTAAAATTTTAATTTAAAACAGAAAGTAATACAATAAAAAAAAATTTTTATTGTTATTTTGATTTGATTTATAAAAATATTTGTTAGTATATAGATTTATTCAACTAAAATCTAATTTGAAATTTGCTTTTCAATAAAAAAAATTTTGAAAGTCAATAACAACAAAAATTGTATAACAATAACAATATTGAATATCAAAAAATTATCTCAATAGGATCTAAAGTATACAGTATTTATATATGAGTAATATAATGTGATATTTAAATAAGTTTAATATCTCTGGAGGATTTAGGAAAATTGATCCCATGTTTTATTAAAATCTCAACTTTATTTTTTTTTATATCAAAAGCTAACATAAAGAGCTATATATTTAATGATAAATAGCTGAATAAACACTCAAATTGATGAGAAAATTATTGAAATTTTTGTCTTTTAGTCGATGACAACCATATTTTACCGGAAGAGAAAAGATTTATTACTTTAAGTTTAATTAAAAATTTATTTTCCTATTTTTTTATTTGGGTTATTTAGTTTGTTGACAAAATAAAATTTCAATTTTTAAAACAAAATTTCATTAATTTATATTTATTTTTAGAAAAGAAAATTATAAAAATCAAATTTAAGATCCACTTATTTACTGTATTACAGTATAAATTAATACTAATATCTATTATTTATATTTTTTTTAGAAATAACTTATGTTGACATTATAAATTAACAACACAATGAAAAATTCAGATTAATTATGAAATATTGTTTTTGAGTGATTTATAAAAATTGTTTAAAATATTACTATAGTATAACAAGTACTGTATATACTGTATAACATAGTTTTAGAAAATAAATTTTCTAAAAATCTAAATAATTAATAACAACTTTAAGTATAATAAATTATAAAATTAAGGTATATATTTTGAGTTATTTTATATAATTTTATACAATATTTTATAGTGTTGTATATTATATTTATCATAAATCTTAATATTTAAAATTTTTAACTATATAATGAAAATAGGATTTAATATTTAATTAATTAATTTAAAGCTTAAGCTGTAATTTCGTAGAAATACTATTTAATTAATATAATATTAATAGTTGTTGTAAACTGAATAATAAATTACAATTTGTATGAATAAAACTGTTACCTGAATAGGCTTTCCATCGACGGGTGACGACACAGTTTGAGTAACATTGATCATAGCCAGTCCCATATGTATGACCCGATCTGCGTGATCGACAACCATTTCGGGCAGTCCTCCGACCACTACATAGGCGTCGCCAATGGTCTCCACTTTATAGACGCCATAGACAGTGGTCAAGTGGTCAAACTGTATATACAATTTGTTGAGCAGTCGCACCACATCCATGGGTTCGACACTCTTGTGGCCACACATTGCCGTAAAGCCGACGATATCAGAGAACAAACAGCTGACCGGTTCGAAGCTTTCGGACTCCACTCGGATGTTCTGACACAACAATCGGGCGATTTTGGCCGGAAATATGTTGTGTAGTATCTCTTCGGTACGTTTGTTCTCATCTCTGACTTTAGCGTCCAAAATACGGATATGATTGGTGGCCTCATCGAGCTTTTCCACTAATTCCCGTTCCCCGCGCCTCTGATGCGACATCAGTATTAGATCACGAGTGCGGTCGTGAACCGGTATGTCAGTCATGTAGAGACCCAAGCGTTTCATTTCATCCAAACCGTTCACACGCGGCGAACACAGAAACAGTATGGCATTGGATTCGGGCACCGGTACCATCTGTCCCTTGAGACGCAATTGCAATGTTTCCGATCCTTGTTCCTCTTCGGATGGCTTTTTGTCTATTGATTTCTTAAGATTTTTGTTCTTTGCGGCCATAAATAGGTCGGTGCTCTTCACGACAAACACTTGATTACAATAGTTTAGTATTGACTCAAATGTACAGTCAATATGAGGGCGACTAATAAAAAACAAATCGCTAAACTTCGGTGCCTTCCTATTGTTGTCGGCCGACCAAAGATAATGTGTCAACTTTTTCAATGAATTACCGATTTGTATGATACGAAAGTCGCGCCGAAACATCAAATGAAACGGAAAGGCCTCGCAAATGGTATGGGAGCTAAACAATAGATCACTGGGCGTTGCACTCAACTGTTGGTCCGTTTGGTAAGGCGTCAACTTAACAATGGACGGACCGTTCTCTTGGCTATCGCTATCTTTGAGGACCACTTCCAGTATGACGTGTCCGTCGTCGCACTCTTCAAGAGTACGGACCAGGACTTCGGTATCGAAAAACTCTTTGCTAACAATAACAACCAGACCTCTGACGATAGCGCTCAGTCCTTTACGATCGCTATAGTAGTGCAGATGCATTGAACCGTCACCAATGTTGGTGACCCGAAACGACGGCGCCCGCATACCCGGGTATATAGAGCTAAGATGGTCGTGAAGATTGTCTAAATTGGTCAGAAAGTCGTACAAATTGCTGCCCAAAACCCGCAAGATTTTGTCGTAGCCGTTCTTCTGACAGTATTTGAGAAAATGACCGCCAAATGCCTCCAAACATGTCTCCACATCCAAACCTATCGGTTCCCAATACAGTCAATAATACAATATATTTATAGATTAAAATCAAATTTAAAATATTGTAAATAACTGTTTGACACTATATAAAATTTATAGTATATTTTATTTATTATGTTAGATACAGTTTTTTTTCATAATTAATTACTTTGAAACTATTTAAATAATTTATTTAATTTATGTATTTTATAAATTCTAGTATTTATACATACAGTACTGTATTTATTGTATTTAAAAAATAATTATTTCATATACTGTAATGACAGATAAAAATATGCATGATAAATTTATAAATTAAATATATTTTTTTTTTGTATAAAATTCTAAGTTTAAATAAAATACTATTTATTTACTGTACTTATATTATAAAATTTCAAATGTTTTTGATAAATATTTTTTCATTTTCTTTAATAAATTAATATTCTCATAAATATTTTTATGTATGCATTAAATGCAATTTAAATTTAATATTTTGCTAACAAAAAATTTCAATATATATGACAACATATAAAAAATTATGCGTCGTTTATATGGTCTTATGGGACAAATAATAACCTTAAGTATTTTTAAAATATTTTTAGTTTATTACATAAAGTGTTTTTGTATATTAAGTCAATAACATATATATATATATATATATATATATATATATATATATATATATATATATATATATATATATATATAATAAGCATCATTAGACAGTATATAAATTATGTATATTATAATTGTATAAAAACATAGACATGTTTTTCTTTACTTTGTAAGTAATAAATGAGAAATGTTATGCAATGTTTGTATATATATATAAATATATATTTATAGGCTTAAATTAAATAATATATAATATTAAGCTCTATTCAATGGCATTGGTATGTCTTTTTTTTGTTTTGTTTGTTATATCTCGTTGAGTATATCTACCCCTCCCCCCACATAACACACACATATAAAAATACATGTCTCTTAATGATATTCAACTTATAGTCGATTTTATGTTTGCCATTCATCTTATTTTTAAGAATAAGCCATAAAATTATTTATTAATAAATGTGTTTTTACGCAAATGTATGTAAAAAAACTATTTATATAAGTGTGTGTCCGTTAAGTAATGTAATGTATATTTGATGTTTGATATACTGTTTGCTTTATCCTTATAATATATAGTAGTCTTAACATTAAATTAAAATTATTCATTTATGTTATATGATGTTTGATGTGTGTGTGTGTGTGTAGTGTGTACTGTATATACAGAATAGCAATGTTTAGTAAACTAGAGTACTCTCATAATATTAATCAAATGTGACATTAAATATGAAATTTTTAGTGATAAATAGGAAATGAATCAAAACAAATATTTTATATCATAAATCTTTCTATTTATCTCTCTATCTGTCTCTTTATATACAATGTATAAATCTACTATATATTATACATATATATATGTTATATATATATGTTTAACTATCATAAAAATTTTGTGATACCATAAAATAATATTGTATTGTATCTATATTTTTATACACATAGGGTTTGAAGGTAATGGCAAATGATGCTATAAATAACTAAATTGTTGTCGTATTTATTTATGAATCCAAATATAATAAATTTTACAATTTAATGGTCAACCAAATTATATTTCTCAATATATTTTTTTCAGATAAATAATTACAGTATAAAACATTTATTATATTATTTTTTTATTATAATTTTATAATAATTAATATTCAAATTAAAAAAAATGTAAATATTAATTACCAACGACTTCACTGGTAGTGGTGACCAGTTTGATGGTGACCTCATCGTCGTATACTTTGTGCATTAAAAACGAGGCGCCCCTCAGCTTAACATCACTACGACTCCTATTTTAATCAATAATAATAATAATAATAATAATTTTATTTACATTTCAACAAAAATTATATATATTTATCGATTTTTTATATACAGTAATTTTCTTTAATTAATAAAATCTTAAATTTAATATAAAATATTTATACTATTATATTTATATCTTATATGGATTTATGGATTTTTAGTTTATATTTTGTATTAAATTTACAGTAGTGTATGCAATCAATAAAACTATTTGTCAAATTACCATGTTAATATATTTTAATTTTATTGTGCAATAAAATATTTTTAAACCATATGATCGATGCATTAGTATTTCCAATACACATAAACGCTATTTTCCCATACAATTTGTGAGTTCATATCTCTCTCTCTCTCTCTCTCTCTCTCTCTCTCTCTCTCTCTCTCTCTCTCTCTCTAAACAGAAAATCCATTGATTTTGAGATCCAATTACTCATTCAATCCAAAACTCTATACATAACATAACAGCCCTCACAAAACATTGAGTACATAGTACTACATACACAACAAAAATCAATATTCATTTTGTTTAAGATTTTATCAAACGGACGATCCATTCAATCAGTGAACTTCATTGCTTAAAATAAATGCTATAATTTTTTTATTTTGAATACTCACCTCATTAACAGTACTCTACTTTTACACTAAGAAATTCAAAAAAAAGTTTAGCAATAAAATTTATAACATTTTCTATATACAGTATATACAGTATACAATATATATACTAAAGAAACTAATTTATATAATTCACAATTTTTTGTATCTTTTTTTTGTATCTATTATTTCTTATTTTTTATCAAATTGTTTCTGTTTATTTAGTTAATATCAAACTTTTACATACATATATGTCTCTTAATAATAACATTATTGTACTGTAATGTATCTAAATTTTAATGCTAAGGTAACGGCAAACCTATTAAATGACCAAAAATATCTGAGTGATTAAGTGAGTTTAGGGAGAGAGAGAGAGAGAGAGAGAGAGAGAGAGAGAGATTCAGTATAAACCAAAACAATAGTATTATCAAAGAGTTTGAAATGATCAGAGAGTCGACACAATTACAGTCATTGAGACACTCATTAAGCCAATGGTTTGAATCTAAAAATAATTGCTTTGAAAGTCTATTATTATTATAACTTTTTTTCTCTTATTGTTGTGAACTTTAATTTTAAACATTTAGCGTTTGACACAAAAGTTTTTTTTCCAGTATTTTGAACAATCAATTGATGTATCTATCAATGATTATGTCATATAATTTTCAATTTTGTTTTAGTGATAATATTGTAATCAAAAATAATTATAATTTTTTAATACAATTTAAGAAATTATAATCCAATAACCGGAAAATAATTGCCGAAATAGAAATAGAAATATATTTTTTTGTTTTTTATTTAATCATTTAACGGAAAAGCATTGAATACTTTACTTTTGCTATTTTTTTTTGAAAACATTGTTTCACTAAACGTGATATATTTGAAGTTATGTTTTATTTTCTATAATTAATTAAATTAGATTAATTTTTTTTATTCAATGATATACTATAATACAATCAACTATTTTTTGTTTGTTTTTACTTCCAATTAAACAAAAATAAAGTCAAAAACTCATGAATTAAATAGCAGTGATTATAAGTGCAGTGTTTCTAATTGTTAAGAGATTTTCTATGAGTTTCCCAAATTCAATGATTTGGATATATATATATACTATAATATAAATATATAAGTGTGCAATATATATAAATTTGTTATATTCCTATCTATTGATATATACACTAATAGCTAATACTTTACATTTGACTAACAATATATAGATTTATAAGTTAGTAAAAGGATGAGAAGAGAGAGAGAGAGAGAGAGAGAGAGAGAGAGAGACTTAAGTCAATTAAAAGCATTTTAGTTTAAGAGATAAGTTTTATGTTAGTTAGTGTTTACTTGTATTATTATATATGTTTATATTTAGTACAGTAAAGAGTAATTCATTATATCTTTTTATATATAAATTTGTTTATATATATACAGTATAACACACATTCACAATGTTTAACAATCAATCAATCAATGAATAAAAGCCAAATCTCTTAAAATCAAACACTGAGGACACAATGTAATCGGAAAAAAATCTCAAATTCAACACAACAACTACTACTACTACTTTTACTACTAGTAGTAGTAGTTTTGAAATATTCAATATATGTTATATTTATTTTATTTTATTATTTGAGTATATTGTATACGGTATATATAAATTGTGTGATTTTTTTTCTTAATCTAAGTATAGTGATTAATATCATTAGTAACGCACAAATTTATATATATATTTAGGATAATAGATGACTTAACTGTTGGCTAAAACACAAACAATGTTGTGATTGTGATTAAGTGACACACAAAATGATGAGATATATATAAAAAATAATACAATGAGTGGAGAAATAAAAAAAACAAAACAAAAATAATATGGAAAAGTTATAATTGAATTGTGGCCAACAAATAAATCACTATAAAAAATATTGCTGTTATAATATTATATTTTTGTTATATTTATATATTGTTTTAGTAATTTTAGCTATTTCTATTGATTAATCTTATTATTTCCACTGAGTGATAAAATAATAATAAAAAATATATATAATCTTTTCACATATAATAATATAGAGTAATGCCTGTATAATATTGTTTTGAATCTTGGATTACACTCTTTGTTATTATATATTGTTATATAGATTTGTATAAAAGCAATGAAATATATATAAATTTGTAATAGTGATAAATATTATACATATTATGATTAGTAGTATTTTTTTGTGAGTAATAAAATTATAAATGACTTTAAAGCTATAGAGAAAGAAAGAAAGAAAGAAAGAGAGAGAGAGCTTTATATCATTAAATGGTAAGTGAATGGGAAGTTATATATACTTCCTATGAATACTGTATTTTTTGTCAGGAAAATTAAGAAACTAAAATATAAAAGTTTTCCAATGGAGAAGATATTTATAGTTATGGCATTATTTGGTTCAAAAAATCAATGCTTTATTGATTTTATAATACATAATACTAAACTCAATTTATAAATTTATACCAAAAGAAATTTATATATTTATATATAATATATATATTTTAATCCCATAAGAAATGGTCAAAAAATTAAAACCACTTCCGAGTACTTATATTGTGCTGTATATACTGTAAGTTATAATATAAATATATATATATATATTGAAAGTTATCTTATTTTTGCCTTTTTCTCACTTTTCCTAAAATCTATGCCTTTCTTATAGTTAACACAAACACATAGCACACACACACACACAAACATACACTTTAAGCCGCAAAAACAGTCAATAATATAGTTATTGACTGACCTTTTGCTTTATATTATCGAAAGTGAGAACCAATAAGCTTAAGCATCGGTAGGTTTAGTTTGAAGAAAAAAGTAAAGGCATCGAAATTATCGGAATTTTTATTTTATTTATGGTTTTCTTTATTTTTTTTTCTTCAATGTTTGTGTGAAAACTACAATATAATACATAACGTCGACCATAAATAAGAAAAAAGTTATTAATAATAATAATAATAGGGTTATACAGTATATATCCACTAACTTTCATTTTATGTTTTGCTTGAGTTTTGCCTAATTTGTCTAATATTAAGTCATATTGCAGTAGATATTTTATATATAGTATATATATATATATATCTTATTTAATTAATTATATATTGCTTATTTATAACTAGCAATAAAAGCATTGATTTAGTAGCTGTAAAAAAATTAATCAATTTAATCTATATATATACCGGTATATACTGAATATATTAATTGAAAACTTAAATTTCTATGTTTTCTACAAAATTCTTAAAACAGAATATTCTTGTATTTTAAATGAATTACTTGAAAATAATTTTATTTATTTTTAAATATATTTATATAAAAATATAAACTTCGTGTACTGTAAATAATGAATGTGAACTCCGGCGATGAAAATGTCTTGTATTAGATACGCATAAAAATTTACATAAAAAGCAAATATATATATATATATATATATATAGTATATATATTCTTAAAAATTTACTTCACATTCATTTATATATATATGTATGTGTTTCTGAAATGTCAAATTTTTTTCACGTTTGTTTGAATTACATATAAAAATCTAATGCAAAATATTTAAATTTAATAAAAATAACTTATAATTTATATACATTTTACATTTACTAAATGAATTCTGTAACACACAATATACTCTCAATACATAAGACAATACTTATTTTAATTTTTTTCACTTATATATATGTGTGTATGTATTATATTATACAAAACAAATAGATTATACATGACATTGAATATCCTAACAGTTCATTCACAAGTTGTCAGTTAAATAAATAAATAAATAAATAATAAAAAATTTTAGTAAAATTTAATTTTCTTTGAGATTTCATGTTTTATCATTTTATTCCAAGTTTTTAGTTTTATGTTTGAATTTTGTTTTGTATAACTCTTTTCTCTTTTCAGCATAACATACATAGACAACAATACCATTTTCATTGATTTAATTTATATACAAATTTATATTGTATTTACAGTACAGTACAGTATATATAAACTAAATAATGTAATGAAAACAGAAAATGTTATTTTGCTTGAAATGTTAGCAAACGATTGCTAAAAAAATAAAATGTGAATATATTTTGTATTCAAAGTAATTGTATTTTTGTTTTTTTTAAACTAAAAAGAAAATCTTATATATATTTAGCTTTTTATTTTATGTTTAGACATATTGTTTTGTGGTATTTATGTGTTGAGTGAGCATTTGATTTTCAAATAATATGTTTATTTAAATAATGTTTTACTTGAATATATTTATTTAATAGATATATTGCACAGTATTTAGTTTTCAATCTTTTTTCAAAAATTTTTTTTTTAAGTATTTGAATATATTTTTAAAAATTGTTTTAGTAAACAGTTTAAAATGTTAATCTTATGTTTGAT